TGGGATCTTCTCACAAGTGTACAGCATCTGTTTTGGCCTTAGATTTGGGTTCTGGGGCGTGATATAAACAATCTTAAACGACTTCAAAATGTTCAAGATCAAACTTCTAGATCTTTCCTTATCCCAAGGGTCTCCCAATTGTATGTTAGGTACATTGAGATCATAATTACTTAATCTATACTTTGAAATGCTTGCTCCATTAGCCACATCACACTCCAATTATTAAAATAAGGAGACCACATATACACTATCCCAAGGCCTATAAATACCCATTGAGGGTTTTTCCCAAAGCTACTTCTTTCGAACCTAGGGCCTTTCCTTTACTTCAGATTAAGAATGGATTATTGTTAACTTAAGCAATAAAGTGTTTACCTTGAGGTCCACCCTTGGGCTTGGTAGTTCAATTGTGCTTCTAGACTAGGACTAGAGGAGTTAATTTACCTTGTGTAATTACATTAGCATCGTCTGTGGGAATTGAACTAAAAGTATTGCAATCTTTACCACTTTTTGAATTGGGAGTTAACCCATGATCTGTTTGAATTGGGAGTCTTACTTAAGGCCGAGGTCAAGGTAGAAGTATACACTTGAATTATCCACCCTAATCAACACCACCTAACCTTGAAACTAATTATGTAAGTGAATTTTTCGAGGGAGGTAGAAAGAAACAACCTTGAAATCTAGATACTACTCCTAGCAATGGCATTGTTACCTAATTCAGTGTGTTGCAACAGCAATTTGGTGCCTTTCAACTTGTTTTGGCTCAACTCTTAGCTCAAGATAATCCTAACGACCTACTTATTAACTGGATAAACTTGAATCACTACTCGTTACCTTAGCAACTTAAGCCACCCAATGACAACTCTTAAATTAATCAAAGTAATACATTCTTGAATGACACTCATAGGCAACCTTAGCAATCTTCACCTTAGGCTAGTATACTTGATGATATTGCAAAACACCTTAAAAGTTTGGAAAGGATGTTAACTGAGTAGCGAGATGTCTTACCACCTGATGAAAGACCAAATTTGGTCCCATATCCTTCAAATGTTAACATTATTCAAGAGCCATATCGACCTAGCTTCAAAATGCCCTTTCTTAAAACTTATGATGGAACTAAAGACATTGATGATCACCTTCATGCTTTTGACTCATCTATGCAAGCTTAAAATGCTACTAATGCTTTGATGTGTAAAATTTTCCCCTCAACACTTTATGCTAATACTCGAACTTAGTACTATATCCTGGCTCCACAATTAATCAGTTCTTATACTAAAATGGCCTTTACCTTTATCGTAAAATTTTCTAATAGAAGAATTATCAAGAAAACAACTCTTGAACTCATGAGGGTGGTACAACGAGATGAAGAATCTTTAAAGAATTATATGAACAGATTTAATGATGCTACCTTAGAGATTAACTCTTTTGATCAAACTCTAGGCATTGTGGCCATAATTCAAGGCCTAGCTTACGAAAGATTTTGAGGCAACCTTATCAAACACCCACCTTTAACATTTGATGAGGTCAATGATTGATCTTGATTGTTTTTCATGGCTGAATACTATACCCAATCTGACAAACCCATGACCTTTAGAGAACCTCAAAGCTCTATTTGGTTAAAGGAAACTGTGAATAGGAAACGAAGTAAAGGTGCTCAGAATCAAAGTCCTTTGCCTCTCACTAAGTTTGAAAACTCATCCCTAACCTTTACTCTTTTGCAACCTTACAAGTAGAAACCATTGACACCTCTCACTTTACCTCATTTCTAGATCCTCATTAAAATTAAGAATAAAATGGAGTTAAATAGACCAATGCCCATGCGCAGCTAGGGTTTAACCTATGATCACTCAAAATATTGTGATTTTCATCAAAACTATGGTCACACAATAGAAGATTACAACCAATTGAAAATGGACCTTGAAAGTCTTGCTTGTAAAGGCATGCTTAATGAGTACATTTTGAATAAGGGATGAACTAAGTTTGTTAGAGAGTAAACAAGTCAAATCCAAAATAAGGGACTTTGGAATCCAAAAGACAAAGATGGCCTTGGATATCAGTAAACACCACCACCTCTTTCACTCTCAGCTCATGTCAAACATATGATAATTGGTGGGCTTGAAGCTAGAGGAATGAGTTCTAATTTAAGGAAGTTGCATACTCAGGAGGTCAAACATCAAAGTAGAGCTTAGAAAAGAAACTTTGAAGATCTAGATTAGTGGAATTAGCTTATAACCTTCACTTAAGCTGACTCTCATGGTGTTGTCATACCTCAAAATGACTCTTTAATTACTTCTATCATGATTAACAATTCTACAGTTCATCATGTACTTGTTGATATCGACAGTGCTCTTGACATCCCATTACTTTAAGAGTCTCGATATTGATCCATCTTAGTTACAACAATACAATGGGCCCATATATGGTTTCAATAACCAATTGGTTCTAGTAGAGAGAGTGACTACCTTTATTGTAACATTTGGAGAAGGTGGGAGATATGTCACACCTTCAATTCAATTTTTGGTGGTCAAAATGGTTTCTTCCTTCAATACTACAATTGGGCACCTAACTTTGATCGAAATCCAAGTTATGGTATTTTAGACTCATATGGGCATGGTTATATTGAAAGAAAATCAAGAAATTGCCAAGCATTGCTACATGACTTTAGTCTTCTAAAGAGTAAGTCAAGGTTAGCACAGATCCTCAACCCTCGTTCTTTCACAAGTTATAGAAGTCTAATTAATAGATAGTAAGCCTGAGGTTAAGATAAAAGCTACCCTTGCCAAAGAGGTGGAGAAAGTTTAGATTGATGATAGAGATACAAATAAAATAACTCACATCAACATAAAACTTAGTTAAAAAGAAAGGGAAAGTTTGATAAGTTTCCTTCAAGCAAGGGATATTTTTGCATGGAATGCAAATAAGATACTTGGGATTTCCACCTCATTCGCCATGTATAAATTAAGTACAAATCCTTTAAAAAACTAGTAGCACAAAAGAGGCACCTTTTCGAAGATAAAAGACTTCAAGTTATAAAGGATGAAGTCATGAAGCTATTGAAGGTCGGTTTCATAAGAAAGGTAGACTACTATGACTAGGTAGCCAACCTAGTGCTTGTTAAAAAAGTAAATGATGAGTGGGGCATGTGTATTTATTACACTAACCTCAACAAAGGTTGTCCTAAGGATTGTTTTTTTATTCCAAATATTGACAAGTTAATTAGTTGAAAAGGCCTCAAGGAATGAGTGGATAAGCCTCTTAGATGCATAGTTGGGATATTGTCATGTCCTTATCGCTCTTGGGGATGAAGAGAAGACTTCTTTTTATGTTAGAGATGAAATTTACTATTATGTGATGATGTCTTTTGGCTTAAAAGAAGCAAGTGCAACTTACCAAGAAATGGTTACCATTGTGTTCCGAGCTCAGATAAGGGGAAATCTTGAAGTTTATGTTGACAACATTGTTGTTAAAAGCCTCAAGGCACAAGACCATTTGGCTGACCTCCAAGAAATATTTGGGATTAGGATGAGATTAAATCTTGCCAAGTATAGATTTAGTGTGGAGTTAGACAAATTTTTGGGATTTACGGCCTCTAGAATGGGGATAAAGGTCAATCCTAAAAAAATCAAAGTAATTGATGAAATGGAGCCACTAGAGTGTATAAAAGATGTATAGCACCTCACAAGCCAAGTAGCTACTCTCTACTAATTTATTTCAAAGTCGACTAATAGATGTTTCCTATTCTTTAAAGTTTTAAGGTTAATATTATAGAAGAACAAAGGAAGCAAGTTAAAAAAGTTTGAGTGGAATGAGGATTGCCAAAATGCATTTGAAGAGCTCAAGTCATTTTTGAGCTTACCATCACCCTTTGATGGGGTAATTTTATACTTGTATTCAGAGATTTTTGATGAAGCAGTTAGTTTAGTCTTGGTTAGGGAGGAGAGAAAGTAGTAAAAACCCATCTACTATGTTAGTAAAGTATTACAAGGAGCCAAATAGCAATATCCAATCATTGAAAAAGATTCCTTGGGAGTTGTCACTTTAGCTTGGAAGCTGTGCCCTTATTTCGAATCTTATTCCATAATTGTGCTTATAGTCCAATTGTTGAGATAGATACTTCAAAAGCCATAATACGTAGGTAGACTTATTAAATGGACAATACAGCTAGGAGAATTTGAAATAACTTTCCAACAACAAACTACTATCCGAGCTTAAGCCTTGGTGGCTTTCATTGTAGAATATACTTTGGCACAATTGATAATTGAACTAGACACATGGACCTTATATGTAGATGGAGCTTCTAATTGTTAAGGTTCTGGAGCTAAAGCTACTTTGCTTGGACTAGATGGATTCAAAAGTGAATATGCTCTAAAGTTTAACTTTGAAGTTGATGAGTCTAAATTTTATACAATTTTACATGGCTTTTTAGCCATGCATTAGAGTTTTTTATATTGCCTTGGAGTAATTTTAGTTGGTTTTATATCATTTTTATCATCTTTATTGATAAAGGCTAAAATTGAAGAAATCAAAAGTAGATAGGCTAAAATGGCAAAAACTAAAAAGATGAAGTATGACTCCATAATTTTTCCATTTGAAGACCAAAACTTGATTTTTTTTTTTTTCTCTATACACGTGCTATGCACAAGATTTGACATGTGGGCTTTCTTTCTTTATTTGTGAAGAGTAAGATGGGCTTTCATCAAGGCACACAGATAGAGATATAAAAGAAAAAAAAAATGGTAAAAGGGGGTGGACCTTTCAAAGGGGTTAAAGGCAGACCAAAGAATAACAGCTTTCGATGTGAGTGTCAGTGGAAAGTAAAGTAGCCATAAGGAGGTTTTCAACCAAGAAAAGCAATAGCAAAAGGAATAGCGCACTAATCAAGGGTATAGATTTGTTTCCAGTATACCGAAAATTGGGTTTTGCTTTCTTTACACTTTACTTTTCATTTGTTTAGATATGGAATTGTGATTCATTAATTTAATCTCAGATTTTTTATCATGATTAGTATGAACTAATTTTCTTAACTAAGGCTACGATGTAGTGATGAGAACCTCAAAGAGAACAATGAGACCCACAGCACGACAAGGGATTTCTAAACTCCAGGAAAGCTAAATCAGGTTTATAATAGAACCTTGACCTGTTGTTTATGTCACAACAAGAACCAAAGGCAAAAACCTTGACCCGTTGTCTATGACGCAACAAGAACCAGAGGTGTAAAGTTGGTTGACGCCACACCCTCGAACGATTAAGAACAAGAATGATAAGTCAGATTAGAATGCCACAAGAATAATCTTGATAATTTCTAACCAAAGAGAAAAGTCTCTCAAAATCTCAGATTCAATAGCTTCCCAATTAGGGTTACAAGCCCCTTTAAATAGGGAAAAGAAATTCTAATCAGAATAGGAAACTAAAACCCTAAGCCCTAATCATAATAACCACGAATTGGGCCTTAAATAAATGAATGTTCAGCCAAAATAATATAAAAAACGTGAAAATCACTAAAAGTAACCTAAAGTAACATGAAACATCAGTTTGTTACAAATTGCGACAGAATTGCAAGATTGACGCAAACTGTGTAATTTAGCATAAATGACCTCAATTAAGGTTCTCTTGAACCTGAATGATGTTTATCATGCCTTGATAATCATCCAAGCTTCAATTTACTTCTTGCATGTTGTTATCAACCCGAATCTACTCAATAAGTCCATTTAAAGCTTCTTGCATCTTCCTAGCTCTAACTCTCGTGACTAGACCTCCTAGAATGTGTAATGGATCTCTTGACGCGGTACATGTGGGGTCATCTTGATTCCCATCATTCCCTCTCTCCTCAAAAGGATTTGTCCTCAAATCATCACCTATATCAAAAGGAGAAAAATCAGAAACATTCAAAGTAGCACTAACATTATACTCACCAGGAATCTCCAACTTGTATGCATTGTCGTTTATCCTTGCAATCACTTGAAATGGTCCATCGCCTCTTGGCTACAACTTAGAACGCCTTTGTGCAGGGAATCACCCTTTCCGCATGTGCACCCAAACCCAATCTCCAGGTTCAAACACAACTTTCTTGCGCCCTTTGTTGGCTTGATTTGCATATTGCTGAGTTCATCGCTCTATGTTTTGTTGCACCCTCTCATGTAGCTGCTTAACCATTTCAGCTTTCTTTTTCTCATCCAAACTAGCTTGTTCGTCAATAGGTAATGGCAATAAATCCAAAGGAGTGAGTGGATTAAAACCATATGCAACCTCAAATGGTGAACAGTTAGTTGCTGAATGGTTGCTCCGGTTATAAGCAAATTCAACGTGCGGCAAACACTCTTCCCAATTCTTCAAGTTATTCTGAATAATAGATTGCAATAAGGTTGACAACGTCCTACTAACCACTTTTGTTTGACCATCACCTGAAACAAAATACCCTAAAAAGACAATATGATTTGTGCAAAAGGAATACTTTTTAAGGTTAGCAAACAACTTTTCTTTTCTCAGAACCTCAAGTACCATTTGCAAAATGCTCAATATGATCGGTTAAACTCTTACTATATATCAGAATGTCATCAAAATAAACAATCACAAATTTGCCAATGAAAGCACGCAAAACATGATGAATTAATTGCATGGATGTACTAGGTGCATTAGTTAATCCAAATGGCGTAACTAACCACTCATATAAACCATGTTTCGTTTTAAAGGCTGTTTTCCATTCATCACCTTCATTCATCCTAATCTGATGATGCCCACTCTTTAAATCAATTTTAGCGAATATGCAAGAACCATGCAGTTCAGCTAACATGTCATCTAATCTAGGAATAGGGTGACGATACTTTACAGTGATTTTGTTGACAGCGCGACAATCAACGCACATACGCCAAGTCCCATCCTTCTTAGGCACAAGTAGCACTGGAACTGCACATGGACTCATGCTTTCTCTCACATGTCCCTTCTTCATGAGTTCTTCAACCTGCTTTTGAAGTTCTTTTGTCTCATTGGGGTTGCTTCGATATGCTGTTCGGTTCGGAATTGTTGCACCTGGAATGAAGTCAATCTAATGCTCAATTCCTCTGATTGGAGGTAAACCGTTAGGGATGTCTTCTGGAAACACGTCCTTGAAGTCCTGCAAACGAGATTTAACAACACTAGGCAAAGAATCATTAAGTTTGTTAGTGTTGAAATAAGCATCTTTATACAGAAGCACAAACATAGGCTGCTTTGCAAAGAACACAGTCTTAACATCACTTTCTTTTGCACAAACACTCACTGATTTTCTCTCTTTGTTTTCAACACTCTCAATCTTTTCTCTCTTTTTGGACTCTTTTTCCATAGTTTTCTCTTTGTTTTTCATACCCTCAAGCTCACTCTCATTTCTCAACTCACTCTCTTTTTTTACTCTCAGTTGATCCTCACAAACCTGCCTTGGACTCAATGGTGCAAGAATAATTGTTTTCCCCTCCATGACAAATGAATAGCGATTTTTGAAGCCATCATGTGTTACCCTCCTATCATATTGCCATGGTCTCCCTAAAAGTAAATGTCCAGCATGCATGGGAACCACATCAAAAAGTACCTCATGCTTATATCATCCAATAGAGAATGAAACCAGAACTTGCTTATTTACCTTGATTTCTCCACAATTGTTTAACCATTGCAGCTTATATGGCCTTGAATGCTTCATCATAGGTAAATTAAGCTTTTCAACTAAAAGAGTGCTAGCTACATTAGTACAACTACCACCATCAATAATCACACTACATACCTTGTTTTTGACATCGCACCTCGTGTGAAATATATTGTCACGTTGTACTTCATCATCTTTTTTGGCTTGCACATTCAAAGCTCACCTGGTGATGAGCAATTCTCCATCAACAGCATATTCCACACCATCATTAGCATCTTCTAATGGTGGCATAGATTCATCATCAGATTCACCCTCGGTTTCAATTTCTCCATCTTCTCGCAAGATCATCGTGATGCAGCATGCCCCCTTCCCAAGCATCAAAAACACTTGATGTCTCGGTTTCTGCCTTGCGTATTATTTGTTTTACTCTTCTCATTACTGCCAACTTCTTTTGACTTAGATGCTGCAGTTTTAGGCTTAAAAACAGAATTTTCTTCCTTTTTACTCCAATTCAGTTTCCAAGAAGATGAGGAACCTGAATTTTGCCCAGTTCTGGTGGTGGCTCCTTTACGCTTGAGTTACCGTTCTACTTTCATTGCCATATGCACCATATCTTCTAATTCCACATAATGCTGTAGCTCCACCACATTAGCTATATCACGATTTAAGCCATGCAGAAACTGTGCCATAGTTGCTTCTCTGTCCTCTTCTACATTCGCTCTAACCATTGTGATTTCCATCTCTTTGTGATAATCCTCAACGCTTTTGGACCCTTGAGTAAGGCCCTGCAATTGTTGATAGAGATCACGGTAGTAGTGACTAGGAACAAATCGTTTTCTCATCACAGCTTTCATCTTTTCCCAAGTGTCAACAGGATGCTCTCGATTTCTACGTCGACTAAGCACAAGCTGATCCCACCACACCACAGTATAATCAGTAAATTCCACCACTGCTAGTTTCACATTTTTCTCCTCAGAATAGTTATGGCAATCAAACACCAATTCCACCTTCTTTTCCCACTCCAAATACACATCTAGATCATTCTTGCCCTGAAATAGAGGAATCTTCATCTTGATGCTACCTAAGTCACGATCTTGCCGATCTCCCCACCTTGTCAGATTTTGCTCTCTTTGGCCCCCTCTACCTCTCATAATTCTGTCCATGCAGAAATTTGAGTTCCAGGCATCATTGTTGAATCCATCTTTATAATCGTCATCGAAATCATCATTAGCATCATTCTTATGCAAATTCGGACTTTCATTCTGTGTTTTGGTATAACTTTGCTATCGCTGCATCTTGCTTCTCCATTTTGTCTTTAATCTCACCAAACATGATGTCCAGCCTCTGAAATTGTTGTTGCATTGCTTTGAGCATGAAGGATTCATCCACATGGTGGCTTCTAGTGGTTGATTTGTCATCACCACTTGACATGATTGAAACATGCAACAAATGTTAGAAACAGAAGAATAAAAAGGACCTCACAACACTCCCTTACGTGTTTCACTCCACTCTCTCACAGAATGGCACTCAGCGCTCGTGTTTTACACACTGTAGAACTTGGCTTTTCTCTCAAGTGTTGCTCACACCTCTTTCTTTTTCCCCTCACTCAACTTTCCTTTTTCAGTTCGTTATTAAACTAAACAAGTTCAATTCAAGTTATTTTGCAGCAATCTAACTCCAAAAAATCTGCAAGAGTTAAAGGAAACAAAAAGACACAAATGAATGAACAAGAAAACCAATAAAAGAACCAAACCTAAACAAATTAAAACGAAGAGATCAGTTCAAGCACTTCCTAGTAGGAATTGACTTGACTATTCCTTAATGCAGTAGGATTCCAAACTTAGGAAGGAATAAACAAAATTTCTATCTCCTTGTTTGAATAGAACTCAAAGAGAATTTCCAACTCCTTATTGGAGTAGGATTCCTTCTTCTTTAAGGATTTGGCCAGAGATTTCTTCTCTATATAAGGAATTCCAACCACAGAATTGTGTTGCTTGTTTTTCTCTCTCCTTTTTTTTTTTTT